ATATATATATATATATATATATATATATATATATATATATATATATATATATATATATGATATAGAAACTATGCTTAAAAAATTTGCTATGTTTTCAACAAAATTTACCGTATCCCCTAAAAACATAGTCTTGCAGGTAATCTATTCCTACGTTACTAGAAACATATAGTAAAATATAGTAATATATAGTAAAATTGAAAAGAATTTATATGAAAAAAAAGAAAACTATTCTCTCCATGTACATGCAGGAAAGAAATATTTTACTGCTAAAAAACTCGGTTTACTTCTTTTAAGTATTGGTTATCTTCAACAATGAATATTTTCTCGATAATAGCCTTGAGATATATCCATTGCAAATTTGAGAGGAGCTCATTATCATATACTCGAAAGAAGAATTTATCCTCTTTTCCAGAATATTATGAAACTCTATGGAGGAGGCAGTTGGTTGAAATGCTAAACTTAGGATTCAGAATGTATTTTGAATAAATTCGAGGCTTTCGCGCGGTAAACCTATGAAACTCGGAGCAAGTAACATTTCCACTAGAATGCACTGCGCGTTTCTCTCTGTGTGTAGTCGCAAATGGCGAACTCGTCCTTTTCTCAACGTACGGTCGCACCGATACTCCTCCTCCGTGGCTTCGAGAGGCTCCGGAGTATTAACCGTAAAACCCGGAGACATCTGCCAGGCCGATGGACTTCGCGGTGTAATCAGTGAGGAGGAGCCTATTTGAGCGGCCGCGTTATGTAATGCCGCGTATTTGCAGTGTGTTCTCTCCTCGCAGCTGGTCCGGCGTCGGGTAATCCGGATTAAGCCACAATTTAAATCGGGCCACGCGCAGGCCGAGGTTAGATTTAGTTTAAAACGCCGTGGCGTTGCGTATTGTGCACGTAATGGACGTGCTCGCGGGCGAAATTCGTCCGATCGGGGGCCGCAGGAGCGAAAATATCCGCGCCCGATCCATTAATGGCAGCGCGAAATGGGGACGCGCGCGCGACCGCGATGTACGGGCAAAATTGTTCACGAGCGACTAATCTTCGCGACTGACTCGAAAAACGACGAAATCGTATTTTCCACTAACCTACCGGCCAGTCGATCGTAAAGGAATAATGCGTCTCATACGTTCCGCGCGCTCTCGGAAAATTTCCCGCGCAACACAGACGACGATATCTCGCGAATTTAAATTTTAAGAACTCTCGCGCGTCTGAACCAAGCGTCCCAAGGCAAAGGGAGACGCGGCACGTTCTTGTGCGACCGCGTGGAATATTTTTGTTCATAACGGGAAAGAAAGAGAGAACTGGGGGAGAAAATTTCGTGCTACGCGGTAGCAGACACTGACAAAGAGGAAGCAAAAAAAAAAGAGAGAGAGAGAGAAAAAGGAAATCGCAGAATTTAGAATGTCGTTCTTTGCACAAACGTCCCTTTCGTCTTGTCTCTCGCAATGAAAGGAGGACAGGCTCTCCCAACGTCCTTTTACGTTGACCAACTCTCAGGACGCGGAAAATGTAGATTTCCCGCGCGAAATACTCGCTCATATCATTCGTACTACGTGCACAGATCGCATTCGATAGAAATGATGCACGAGTCCTAGACTGACTTTCACGACTATGTAAAAAAATCGATGATGGCAACTTGATAATTTTTTAAATTACATTTATGAAGCGAATATACTATTGAATTGATCGTTAAATTTTCATCATACTAATTTTACATAATAATGTAACATTTTTGTTAAATTCACGCAGCAACAGACTGGTTGGAAATTACACACAGATCTTCGCATTACGCTTTACATGATGTATCGTATGAAGCAAATTTTGATTAATCCTCTTTGTATTTTCTTTCTTGTATTTCTATTTCGTCGTTCTACGTGACAAATGTGAGTGTCCAATGAACCGTTCATAAGGAATGCAGTCTTTACAAATTGACTAGTAAAATTGCCGGCAAATTTACCAGTCTCCACACCCGGGGCTGTTTTTTTTATTGTTTCATGCGGCCGGGATTGCTGCGCGATCGACAGTCGGCTGTATTTTTCTATCGCGAATTTCCGCTGCGTCTCGCGAAACCTCAATTTCACGCATCGAATAGCCCCGCGAGCATAATTCAAACCGTGCAACACACGCTGTCCAACTGCGAATGTGATCTTATGTTCCAAATGCGGCCGTTATTTTGCTTATCCCGCTCGTTCCGGTTGTTTCGATTGGTGTGAGGGTGATTAAACGCGGGGAAGAAGCGGGTCGCGAACGTTGCGTTATCTCGGGACGAGAAAGAGAGTTATGATCGCAATTTTTTAATTTTGAGAAGTAACAGTCGCAATATAAAAGCGCGTCCGTTGTCGGACTCGCGGTTGCACGAAGAAGTTCTCGTGATCGGAAAGCTTACTAGTCGAGGGAATGGAAGAGTTATGACCGTAATTTTCATTTCAAAGTAAAAGTCGCGGGAGAAGTAGAGATGAAATAAAATCACGTTTGCTACCATACTATGAGAGAAAAAGTTTTGTCAATTTAACAAAATACCAGTAGTCACGACAAATGGTTTGTCTATTGGGCAGCAAATGACAAACTTTCCACTTGCTGCTTTAACACTTGTATGTAATGGAAATGTAACTAAACATACAAGAACAAATGCAATTCGTATCTCAGGCAATGTGTGTCAAAATTATGAGGAATGATTTTGCAACGGTAACACTGTTCGATTTGTTTCTCTACACGGAGAGAATTTTAGCAGTAAGAATTACTACTATACTATAGAATATTATAGGATACTATATTTCATAAGTGATACTTATATTTTAGGAACTAAAGTGCGTTATTAAAATACTTGCTATGTTTCTAGCGAAATCTCTTTGTTCTTTGGAGCAAAATTTCGCTGGCAGTCTATTCCTGGACCATTAAAGACATAGTATAACATTGAAAAGAATTTATACTATAACTAGAAAGAAAACTATAATATATTCTCTCCGTGTAATGATCATCAAACAGCAAACGTTCCGATAACAGGGGGATTTTTCTCAGTGCGGTTCCTCCATGAAACAAACCGGTGATCCGACGTGCGCATGCTCTCACGGAACACCCGTAACGTGTACGATATTTAAGCTCTAATGGAACCTCGTCTCGAGGCGAGTCGAGCGGCCGCTTAAGTATTAAAGCGGGACCGGCGGGACGAGGTTTTCCTCCTCCGAGCGGAGAAAGTTACGTGGAATGAAGTAAATGAATGAGAGAGAAAAAAGGAATAAGAGTCTCGACTTACCGTTCGGCACCGTCGGCGGCTTTTTCGTCTGTACCCTCGCTGTTGCGTTGTTCACCTGTCGAGTTGAGAAGCACACATTAGCACAACCGAAACTTCCGGTCGATCGGCGGGAGCCTCCCTCTCCCCCGCCGACATTGCCTATCCAATCGCAGAATCCGCGCGTGGCCGTGTCAAAGGGCCCTTTGATGCACTGAAAAGAGGATTCGGTTAACAAAATCAAAATTTGCTTAAAATAGGATCAACGAAATATTTGGTAATTGCATAACCAAAAAATTCAATTGCCGCTATTTTGCCTTACTTTCTCAGTAATATATCTACTTAGTCACTAAGCAAAGCAAAATAGTTAAATTTTTGTATTGCAATTATCAAACATTTCGTTGATCCTGTTTTAATCAAATTTTGGTTTCGACAACCAAGTCTTTTTTTCAGTGCAAAGTCGATTTTGAAGGAACCGTCATCCCCGCCGCGCTGGCGTAAAGAAATGAGGTAAAGGTACCAATGCTTGAACATGTACCTAATTCTGAACGTTCTTGTTGTTTCGATCTTTAAGTAAAACGAATATTTAAATTTTCAATATATAAAATATATATGCATATATAAATATACAGAGAGAGAAAATAGTTTCTCTGGATTTGATCAATTTTACTAAATTCAAAGAAATTTATTTATATATATATATATATATTGGAACACAAAAAATCAATTGAAAAATCAATTTTGATTTTGACAAATACGATTATTTGCCTTCTCAGGTAATTTCATTGTTTCATTTAATTTTCTCATTTCATAAAAAAAAGTCCGATGATTCTTCTGAAATAATCTTAAGAAACTTGACAATTTGCTCTTTTAAAAAATTCAATTGTTTGACCCAAATTCTTTATTCCTTTACTCCTCATTTCCGTAAAATGTTCAACAATTCTGTTGAAACAATCTTAAGAGATACTTAACACTTCTTTCCTCCACGATACTGATGCGCTGTCTTCTTTATTATTTCATTGTGTTCGCTCTTTTAATCGAGTAATATATTATCTAGCTGAAAACAAAATTTTATTTTCTTCAAATAATAGCATTTCTTTTTCCATTAAACAACATGGTTTGATCTCTGATGAAGCAAATAATATTTGATATGAAACTATATCGTTTGAGTTCAACGAGTCCAAATCAAACTAAGTCCGAAAAGAAACTGTTCTCCCTCTGTGTGCACATATATTCTAGGTTAAAAGTTTGAACATCTCGCATTTATAAAGAGCGAGACAACAAGAACGTCCGAGATTAAGACATCTTCAGGTACTGGTACTTTCACTTTGTTCAAAGGAAACGCCAGAGTCCGTTCGCGAGTCGGACCGTCGAATTGGCGAACGTAATTTCGCCTGATTCAAAACGAAAACAACCGCCGCCTACGGTCTCAATTGCAAATAATTATATGCGGTCGGCGGTTTCAATTAAAACTTTCGGAAACGTGCGAGTTGGTCGTGACAATAATTATTTGTCCCCGGCCGGGACAAAAAGTAACAATGGAAATAAATCGCGGTCGCGATCAGAGCGTCACATAGCGGCGACGAAATTTCCGGCGTCGGATAAAATCGCGCGGAGAGGTGAAACGGAGGGCGGCGGGGGTGAACTTTGACAATTTTACGGGGTACGGCCGGGCGCGCGGATTCCTGTAATCAAATATGCGTCGTTCGATGCAGAAGCGAGTGTGTGCGTGTACACGCGCACACACACGATATTCGGCGCGGAATTCGCGGTATCTCACGGGCTTGATTTTGTTTATCGGAAAATCGACTCGAAGCGCGATAATGACGGATACTTCTGCATCGTACGTAACGAATTATCAGCGGTATCTAATAAAGGACCAAAAAGTCGTATGCGGTTGCACGTTATTTCCTACCGATCGCCCTCGAGGGCCGACCCTCCTCCTCTTTGTTTTCGTACAGTTCGTGTTTCTTCGTGAATATAAATTCTCTGCGCACCGATAATTAAGCGCGCGTGTTCCCTACGCTTCGTGAGGCGCCGTTGTTTCTGCGCGCGCGTCATATTACGTCGGACAACTCCCTAAATATCAAAACCCTAAACATGGGAAAATTTTACCTAGTACATGTTTATCTTAAGTACTTCTAAAAAAATAATCGAAATTCAATCCTTTCTTTTTTCGTTTTTAATCGGTGTGGAGAACATTGAGGAATATGAGTCTGTTAATGTTTTTGCCATTCAATGCAATTGAGTTATAATGAATAAATAAGACACACGTTTTTAAGAACGGTATACTAAAAAATAATTTCTGCATTTGGAACTGAAATAGCTGATACGTGCGATTTAGTTGGCACTACCACACGTTTTTGCTTGCGTCAATGTCATATGTATTATCGAGAAAGTGGAACACGCATTCGATTCTTTTTCCATTTATAATCGGTGTGGAAAACATCGAGAAATATTAATCTGTTAATGTGTGTGTGTGTTTTCGCTATTCAATAAAGTTGAGAAGCATTATACTGGAAAAACAAAACACACGTTTTTAAGAACGGTACATTGAAGAAATTATTTTGCGTTTGGAATGGAAATATTTGACGCACACGACTTGGTTGGCATTACCATGTTTTTGCTTGTGTCAATGTCGCATGTATTATCGGGAAAGCAGAACATATGCAGCGACAATTAAAAATTGGTCGGTATCAAACATATTCGGTTGATCCCATTTTAAGGAAATTTCCGTTTCGACGACGGAAATCTTTTTTCGTTATCACAAAGTTGGTCTGGGTAAACCTATGTTCAGGGTTCTGAAGTTAAATCCGCGCTCTTCACACGCGCGGGCGAGAAGTTCCTTAACGTGCAACCGCAGCGAGCTCTCTCTTGAATTCAGACACACTTCTATCGTCGTCTCGCGTTTGAATTTGCTCGCGGCACGTCGCAACAGTATGTAAAACGTTAATAATTCAGAGAGGCGGGAACAGCCGTGTCGAGCCTGTTATTTCCGTGGGGTTCTCTTCGCTGTTGCCATTCGTCGATTAAACGAGGTATCGATGCACTTCGCTCCGAAACGCGTCTGAATTCAAGGAACTTTAACATTAGCGAGAAACGCATACAACTACATGTAAAAATCTCTGTCTCAGGCGAAAGAGAGAGGGAGAAAGAGCGAGAGAGAGAGATTTTTGCTCCTTGTAGTTTTCAACCTCGGAGATCAGGTAAACATTGTTTGACATGGACGCTTAAACTTTGAGCAAGTCTCCAAGTGAATAAAGACACGACTGGTAGTGACAAGTAGATCACTCGACTCGTAACCGTAATTTTATCGAGAGTTTCTCTCAGCAATTTCGAGTATCTTCTTCACCGTGAATATTGAGATATCAATACGCAGAAAAAAAATTGTTGAATAATATAACTGCAAGAATTTCAGTTAGGAAAATCTTTTTTTTCTTTTTATTGTTATCGTGGCATCAGTGATAGTAATCTTGCTTGCATATTGCTATTATTATTTTCTTTGTTAGAATCACAAGAAGACACGCGGAGAGAATGTTAGAGTTTTTTTTCCTCTTAAGTAAATTTTTCTCAATTTTATTATATTCTTGGTAGTATAGAAGAATAAATTGTTACAATTCTAATGAAAATTAACCATTTCTTTTCCTCTCAGTGCAGTTTTCCAAGATAAAACACGGAAAAAATGTTCGATTGGATGGACCAAATTTTTGATGAAATCGCCTTCGAATTGCTCGGAGAAGCGCTCGTTAGTTTCGTCTAACGCAAAAATGAGGCTTTTGCACTGAGAAAAAGAAATACTTGAAAATTTATCCGCGCGGGATATAAAGTTTATTTTACAGAAATCAACTTTACTTCACAGAAATCAACTCTACATCCCGTAACTAAATTTTCAGGTCTCTTTTCTCAGTGTGTTATTATTGCGAGTCGCACGAAAAGCGAACTCGCCGTTCTGTGATTGCCCTTGTCTCGGAAGTTGGAGAACCATGAGAGTCGGCCTTTGCGAGTCGGCGAATTTGAACGCCGCGCGATAACTACTCTTACCCTGTTCGTTAACCGATTAACGTAATTCGCGCTGTTCAACGCGCGCTCGTGACGTCACTTGTGTGACGAGCGCCGCGAATTCGCGCGATCTATTTGCGGGTTGAATATCGACAATAAAACGACTCGCGCCGTAACTAATACGACAGGCCGCGCACAATGCGCGGCTTAAATTAGCGTGCGAACGATTCCCCGCGTTTAATCTCGTCGACCCGCAGAGGCTAGCTTCACATACCCACACTCGCCGCACACACATGCGTGTGTGCATGCGCGCGCGTGTGTACGCTCGCATACGCGTCAGTCGTGGACGGGGGAGCGCGACGACGTTAAATAAAAGTCAACGCGACGTGTCGAAGGGCAGCTAATTTGTTTTATCGCGCGGATATCTTACCGGATATCAGTTACCGCGGGACAGTTTAATGAAAAACGACAAAGCGCCGGGGAAAAAAGGGGAAATACAACGAAGCGGCAGAAAGAAGCGGGAGAACGAAAAACGAGAGGAAGAGGTGGAAAAGAAAAAGAAGAGGAAATCGATCGCGCGCTCTCCGTCGGGCTCCCCCTTTTCTCCCATTCCCTGGTCCCCTTTGCCACCCTTTGTCGCCCGCCCGCCCGCTTTCGGTGAAAACAATGGCGAAGCCTTCCCGTCGATTTCCGATTATTTCGATTTCGCTCAAGTACCTGCGCGTCTGGCGAAAAAGGAAACGGAGTTTCCGGCTGGATTGCGACTTGTTTCGTTCTTTATATCGAGAACGCTCCGCTTACCACGAGCCGCCTTCTTCCTTTGCTTTTTTTTGCGCTCTTCTTCTCTACTTTTTTGTTTTGTTTTGTTCCACCTACCCGCGTCTACCTTTCCACCCACGTAGAGACAAACACGCTTCTAATCCGCCTCCTCGGTTTCCCACCCTCTCTTCCACTTCGCGACGAACGAAGAATCGAGAAGGTTCGGGTTCGTAAAAATCTGACAAAAGGGTCGCGATCTCGTGCCTCCGTCGCCGTGTCGCTTCTACGTTTCGTAAGGAGCCACGAGATCGCCGCGAAATC